GGAGTTGGGTAAAGGGCCAATATTATCATGCCTTAATCCCATCCCCTGGAGCTGAAGTGGAGAACTCTTTATGATGTAAAGGGACTAGCTTTGCCTTCTTAATGGCCCATTGACAAAAGGGGGGAGCCAGGAAGCTGCAGGAAGTTTCTCTTTAAAACGTTTCTCCCTTTTCACATCCAGAGAAATATTCTGCCTTTTCAATATTTCCTAGGATATTTCATTTTTCTGGGAGAGGGATGGGTGATAACTTCCTACAGTGTGAAGGAAAATGAAGTGAAATTCCAAGGTCGTTTTGCTTTGAGAAATGAGGCAGCCCTGTGGCTTTGCAAAGCAGCTCTGAGAGAGACCTTTGCTGGCTCAGTCAGATTTCAAGCAAAGCAAAACATCTTTTCCTTCCTTCCCTCGTTTTAATAATAAACCTCCATCTGTTATTAATTTTAGAGGCAGAAGAGGGCGCTAGTGCTTAGAAGAGAGGGAGCTTTGAAAGTCCTCCTATAGTACGATTTAGAAACAGAAACTAAATAATTTGTTTTTTTCATTTTGTAGCACACTCCGGCGAGGTAAGAATATTTTTCTCTCAATCTTTTGCAAGCTTATAAAATGAGCACAAAACGTTTGCTTTTTGGGGAGTTTGTTTTTATTTTGATAGTTTTAGCCAAACTGCTTTTGTTCTCTTAAATATCAATGGGTTCTAATTAAGACATTCCTCTAAGTTAATTTAAGGGAACTAGTTTAGTGTGCTAGTTAAGGCATCGAGCTAGAAACTGGGAGACTGTGAGTTTTAGTGATGCCTTAGACGTGAAGCCAACTAGGTGATCTTGGAACAGTCCCCCTCCCTCGGTCCTAGAAAGAAAAGGCAGACAAGGGCAAACTGCTTCCAAAATCTTGCCAAGAAATCTCCAGGGATTTGTCCAGGCAGTTGCCAGGAATCAATAGTGACTGGAAGGCAACTGAGTCCATTTATCCCAACTTGGTAAATACAGTTCTTTATCTGTCATTGAAGAATCCCTGTGACCAAGGATGAGAGATTAACTATTTCTCTTGTAAGGAGGAGAAATCCTCCTGTTCACAGCTTTTTAAGACACTCAAAGAAATCAATCAATCAGAATGGAGCTGGAAGGGACCTTGGAGGTCCTCTAGTCCAACCCCCTGCTCAAGCAGGAGACNCCTTTAAAAAAACTTTTTACTTTGAAGTAAGAAAAGAATAATTCTGAATTAAATCGTTCAAATTATTGTGCATCCCCAGTTCTTTCCTAAGCAATCACAGAATTCGGGTTTCTGGTCTAGTGTGGGTCTCTTGCTAGAATCGACAGATGAATGGCAAGAAAATGGGAAGAATAATTTCACAGTCCTAAGGGTTGTGAAGAAAACAAATTCTTAAGACATCTTAGCAAGATGAAAGCAGGAGTGTCGCCCCAAAACTTACAAAGTAACCCAAAGTAGGAAAACAACAACCCCCCTCCCCAAAAGCTAACAAATCCCCAACTCTTCCACCCGTCCCCCGCGCGCCATACCTGCATTCTCCAGTTTGCGAGGTAGGAATTTCCCGCTCCTTTAAAGCCACACAACCCTCCGGAGGCTCAGCCGCTTTTGCAAGAAACAACGATCAGCTGCATGCACGCCGAAGGGGCGTGGGGTGGGCGGGTTGCTTGCTTTAAAAATTCAGACGGCGCGGGAAGCCGTCCCTTGCGAAGCTCAAGCGGACTTGCATCCTTCCTAAGATGAAAGCTTTTTTTAAAGGTTTCGTTTCCGTTTCGGTTTTGCAGCGATTCTTGCAAATTGGGCGCTTTCCTGGATCAGCTTTTCTATCAAAAGCTGTTCTGGGTGGGTTGATAGATTGGTTGTCTGGAGGGCAGCAAACAAAGAAGATGGGAGGTCCTGGGATGCTTTAGGTAGTTCCTGAGGGCATCTATGTATGCTTTAGGAAGTTTCTGAGGGCAGGAGAGTCGAGGTGGTGCAGTGGTTAGAGTGCAGTATTGCAGGCTACTGCAGCTGACTGTTAGCTGCACTTCAAAATGTCACCAGGCTCAAGGTTGACTCAGCTTTCCATCATTCATAAAATGAATAAAATAAAACCTTCCATCATTCATAAAATGAGGAGCCGGATTGTTGGGGGCAATAGGCTGACTCTGTAAACCACTTAGAGAGGGCTGTAAAAGCACTAGGAAGTAGTATATGTCTTGTGCTATTGCTATATTTTCTCCCAAATCAAAGCAGTTTTTGGTTTTATAAATGAGCCTCTGGATCTCTGGATAGGGGGACCCCTCAGGGTTTCATCGGTTCTGTCTTGCCTTGCTTTCTTCTCAGATCCTCGAAAGATTCCCATCCAATTCTGCATAAACAGGTATGTCTAGTTTAATGAAAAGAAGGACTAGGGGAGACATGATAGCAGTGTTGCAGTATCTCAGGGGCTGCCACAAAGAAGAGGGAGTCAAACTATACTCCAAGGTATCTGAGGGCAGATCAAGAAGCAGTGGGTGGAAGCTAATCAAGGAGAGATGCAANGGTTTCCTGCCTAGGCAGGGGGTTGGACTAGAAGACCTCCAAAGTCCCTTCCAACTCTGCTATTATATTGTATTGATACCATCAACAAAGAACATGAATGAAAGTGTCATTTAATAACCAGTATCTTCCAGATTAAACAGTGCCGTCTATCTTCTTAGAGACAGTTTATATCGATGAAGGAAGCCATCGAGCCAACGATTGGATGCTTTGAATTCTTCTGGGGGTATTCCTAACTGTGCTGTCATTGCAAGGGCAAATGCTTGAATATCAGCCCTGCGTATAACTAAACCCTGTGCTCTCCTGTTAGCAATCCATTCACAGATGATGTCTTCCAGCTCAGGAAAGAATGGTTGCCGACCTGATCCACATTTGCGCTTCTTAGCATTTCCCTCGTCTGCCTGTTGACTGAGGTTCTCGTACTCTGCTCGCCATTTTCGGACCATTCGGAGATCCAACTTCTTCTCCTTGCAGAAAACCGTAAGATTCTTGCCCCGAGAGTCCTCCACGATTCCTTTCTTGAACTCGATGGAATAGCTCTTCCTTTTCGCACTCATCTTGCCTAGGGCTAAAAATATTATTCCATTAAAATCTACCATTAAATCAGGGGTGTCAAACACTATTTCACTGAGGGCCGCGTCAGCATTGTGGTTACCCTGGGGAGGAGGCGGGTGGGTGTGGCCAGCTTGAAGTCATTTGTGTTCCGGTCGTGTGCAGAAGAGCTAGGGGACAGGGTTGGACTGAGGAGGGACAAGCCCATAAGGGTCGGGGAGTTGCAGTACTCCCACTTGCAGCCTGCCTTCACTTGCGGGTGGCGGCACCAGCATCAGGTGGAGGCAGAGGCACAGAGGTGAGGCATGTGATGTGGCCCGCCGAACATGCCGCGTGGTGACTTGCCCCATTGTGGCCGTGGGTAAGCAGGCTGATGGAGGAATGGAGTGGGTGGGTTGGCCACACAGCGCATCCAGTGGGCCAGATTGCGTGCCTCCTCCCCGCACTACTGGCTCCGTCTGCTGGTTGGAGGGCCAGCCCAGCAGGCGCAGTGGTTGGACTTACTTGCACATGGGTTGAGCATCCCCAGAGTGCACTGGCCAATGGGGAGGCAGGCTGCACCCAGACACCCCCGTCCCCCCCTGTGCTTGCCACCTCCTGTGTGCACAAGGAATGCCCCAGGGGGCTTGGCCATGGACAATGGGGACCAGTCCCTCACCATCTCTGGAAAAGCCCCGTGGGCCACACATGGAACCATCACAGGCCAGTTAACGTGCCTCCCACACCACTGCTTTGAGAGCCGGGCTGGCGGTTACAGCGTTAACCCACAATGTGCCAGCCAAGGGATAAGTGGGCTGAAGCTGCTGCCAGACATCATTGCCCACCCCCCCTCCGGCACTCCTTTGTGCGTCTCAGGGGCACCCAGCTGGGTTGGCAGTGATGAGTGCCTTCCCATCTCCGGGGTGGCTCCACTTAACAGAATTGGGCCCATCGCGGGACAGTTTTGGCCTGCAGGCCTTGTGTTTGACATGTTTGGTCTGGGTGATGATCTTACCTAGGGCTTCTTTTTGGACCAGTCTCTCAGCCCAGCCCATATCTCAGGATTTTATTGTAGGGAAAATAGAAAGAGGAAGGTGCCAGATCTGCAGTTATAGCCCTTTTAGGATCTTTGGCCTGCCACACTCTCTCTGATTTCATTATGCTGTTTCAGTAGTGTAGTAGTTGGGAGGAGGGAATAGAAAGGAGTAGAATTGTGGAATGTGTTGTTGTCATTCTTTTCTAGAAGCCCAAGGTTATCTTTTGTCTCCGTACCTCTGCACCTGACCAGAACCAGCTGGGTGGAGATGCCATTGTGGAAGAAGACCATATGATGGATTTGTGGGTGTGGGGATAAGATCATGAA